GGCAATTCTAAACCATCTGTTTTCACCACCTTTCCTCGCTTTAAAATAAGTGTGCCACACTTCTTGGCCCCAAATTCCATTCCTATGTTATTTGAAAATATTTCTACAGTAGAGACCAATCCATTGATTTCACGTTCATTCTTCCCATAGATCTTAAGATCATCCATGAATAGCAAGTGATTTAACTTTAGTCCACACTTCAGAGTGTAGCCCGTTGGGACTTTCCTTAATATGTCTGTGAGGAGAATCATACAGATCACAAATAAAAGAGGTGAAAGACTATCTCCTTGGAAAATCCCTCTCCTGATGTTGACCTTACCCAAGAATTCACCACACGATGTCAAATCCACATTCCAATTCCTCATAGATCTCATGATGAAACTAATAACATTATCCGCCACATTTGCCAGTTCCAGACTTTCGAGAATCCAGGAATGGGGGACCATATCATAGGCTTTCTTATAATCGATCCACGCCATTCCCAGGTTGGTATGTCTCTTTCTACAGTCATTCAGCACTGTTTTATCGATGAGCAGTTGGTCCTTCGTCCCTCTGCTTCTCCCCCTGCAACCTTTCTGCTCATTTGGCAACTTATCAGCATCCTCCAGAAAGTCATACAAAACGTTGGATATGATCCCTGTCATCAGCTTCCACATCAAAGGTAAACAAGAAATAGGGCGATAGTTGTCAACAGCATTTCCTTTGCCAGGATCTTTTTGGCATAGAACGGTCTTACCGGTGGTCATCCATTTGGGAATTTCAACCTCGTTGTTAATCATGTCATTTAATTGATCTGCAATTCTCTCATGCAATGCCGTGAAACTTTTCAACCAATACCCTTGTACCCCATCAGGTCCAGGGCATTTCCAGTTTGGGATCTTTCTTGTTTGCTGGATCACCATCTCAGTCGCAATTCTAATATTATTTTGTTTCCCATCGCCTTTACCCGCTCGTATTTCTCTCATCCATTCAGCATCTTTTTTATGATCTACTTTGTTATCCCAAATGTTACTCCAAAACCGTTTACTTTCAATAGCATCAGGCTTTTCATTGCTGTTTACCTTTTTCACCCAGCTGTTGGTGAACCCGTTTTTGGTCTCGCTGGAATTTTCATAGATTTTGCTTTTAATCGTTGCTTCAGCTCTTCTAATACTATTTTTAAACCATTTCTCTTTATCTTATATTTCTGCTCAAGTTCCTTATATTTTTCCATTCTCTTCAAATCTCCCCTTTCCTTTCTTTCGAGTATATTGATGTGTTTACGTATTTCCTTAATTAACACCTTTATTCTCCTTTTCCACCAAGGCTCTTTCATTCCATTAGCTCTTTTGCGGTAAGGTCTGAGACCTACTTTTCTTCCTATCAAGATGGTGCAGGCTTTTATTAAGTTATTTGTTCCAGATATACTTTCTGGTACAATTTTTCCCAAAACGTTATTCACCTCTTTTACATGTCTCCTGAGTAATGTTCTCTCCACCTTCTTAAACCCCTGCAGTTCCATGTCAAGATTGTGCTCAGTTATACTACTTATTTCTTCAATAATTTCTCCTTCCTCGTCAGTTAGTTTATCAACACGGAACCAGGTTGGTCATCTTCTGTACTATTACCTTCCACAGCAGCCTCGTCAACATCTTATTCTTCGCTTACATCCTCTTCAAAGTTTACATTCACCATTCTTTTCCTAATCTCTTCAAGTTCTAGCGCTGTTAACCATTCACTTTTACGTATCATTCGAGCTTGGTCAACTTTGTCTTTCCTTCCATATATTATACATCCTTCTTCTATAACCCCTACTTGGTTTACCATTTTCATCGACAGGATTACTCAAAAAATAGCACTCCATGACAGCTATATTCATTTCCTTAGTCCATCCAGTTCTAGCAGTAGCATGATGACGACCAGGCCCACGCTGCTCACCCATGGGACACCTGCCGGGCGTGGTACCTTCAGCATCATTGCTTCCAGCACCATTCACCCCGTTGTTTCTACTACTTGTATATTCCATAACACTCATAATGATGGCAGTGTTGGTAAGGTGTCACAACCACCAGTGCTTTTATCGAGACACCATCTCTAAGGGGGTTGCCAACCAAGGCTGAAGAGTCCCCCTTACCCATGAGACAGACTAGCCCACGCCAGACGTCAATCCGGTATTTCATGGCCTCGAGATCTAACAGGTACTACACCTTGCTCAAGGGTGACCTGGAGGTAGTTGTGGCAAAGGGTAACCTCATTCTCCCACGTCGAAACTCCACATTATTGTTATTATTATTATCATTATTATAATTATTATTATTATTATTATCATTATTATTATTATTATTATTATTATTATTATTATTATTATTATTATTATATCATTGTCATTATTACAGTTATTATTATTATTATTGATATTAACATTATCATTATCATTGTTGTTAATATTATCATCATTATTATCATTATTATGATTATTATTATTTTTATTAATATTATTACTATTATCATTATTATTATTATCATTATAATAATAAAACAATAATAATAATAATTATTATTATTATTATTATTATTATTATTATTATCATCATCATTATTATTATTATTACTATTATTATTAATATTATTATTGTTATTATTATTATTATTATTATTATTATTATTATCATAATTTTATTATTATTATTATTATTATTATTATTATTATTATTATTATTATTATTATTATTATCATTATTACTATTATTATTATTACTATTATTATTATTATTATTATTATTATTATTATTATTATTATCATTATTATTATCATTATCATTATTATTATCATTATTATAATTATTATGATTAAAATTATTATTATTATTACTATTATTATTACTATTATTATTAATATTATTATTATTATTATTATTATTATTATTATTATTATCATTATTATTATTATTACCATTAATATCATCATAATCATTATTATCATTATCATTATCATTATCCTCATCATCATCATTATTATTATTTTCATTATTATTATTATTATTATTATTATTATTATTATTATCATTATTATTATTATTATTATTATTATTATTATTATTATTATTATTATTATTATTATTATTATTATTATTATTGTTGTTGTTGTTGTTGTTATTATTATTACTATTATTACTATAACAACAATGGAAATAATGATAATCATAACAATAATTAAAATGATAATAATGATAACGATATGAACAATTATAAAGATAATAATAGTTATGATGATAGTAAAAATAATGACACTGATGTTAATGATGATAAAGCCAATAATGGGTATTATTATTATTATTGTTATTATTATTATTATTATCATTATTATCTTATTATTATCATTATTTTTATTATTATTATTATTATTAATATTCTTACTATTATTATTATTATTATCATCATCATTATTATTAATATCATTATTATTATTATTATTATTATTATTATTGTTATTATTATTATCATTATTATTATTATTATTATTATAATTATTATTATTACTATTAATGATAATGCTATTATTATCATTATTATTATTATTATTTTATTATTATTATTATTATTATTATTATTATTATTATTATGATAATGATGTTAATGAGAGTAGTGTTAAGGATAACAATAATAGTAAAAATAATAATAATAATAATAATGATAATAATAATAATAATAATAATAATAATGATAATAATAATAATAATAATAATAATAATAATAATAATAATAATAATATCATTATTATTACTATTATCATTGCTATTATAATAACAATAATAATATGATTATTATTATGATAATAATATCATTGGTATTGATAATATGAATAAGAATAAAAGTAAGAATGATAATTTTAACAACAATAGTAATAAACAATAATAATAACAATAATAGTAACAATATAATAATGACATTAATAATAAGAATGATAATAACAATAATAATGATTACTATCATTGTTATTATTATTATCATCATCATCATTATTGCTATTACCATTATCATTATTACTATTATTATCGTTATTATGATTATTATCATCATTATTATCATCATTGTTATTGTTATTACTATTATAATTTTTATTATCATTATCATTATTATTGTTATTGCTGTTGTTGTTGTCATTATCATTATCACTGTCTTTGTTACTATCAATATTATCATTATTATCGTTGCGATTATTATGATAAATATTGCTATTATTAGTATTACTATCATCATTACTGTCATTGTCATATTTTTATTATCATTCCTATTATCTTTATTACTTTTATCATTATTACTTTTATCATTATTGTTATTATTATTATTATTATTATTATTATTATTATTATTATTATTATTATTATCATTATTATTATCATTATTATTATTGTAATTATTATTATTATTATTATTATTATTATTATTATTATTATTATTATCATTATTATTGTTATTGTTGTTTTTATCATCATCATTATTATTAATACTATTATAATCGTTATTATTATTATCATTATCATCATTATCATGGCCATTATTATTGTTATAATGAACCATTACTATTATCATTATTATTATCGGCATAATTATCATCAATATTATCAGTATCAACATCATCATCATTATTATTATTAACATTATCATCATTATCACAACAGCAAAAACATCAAAAAGATTATGAATATAAAAGATACATTTCTACCCCCTCTTTTTTCCCCAATTTTTACCTTTTTTTTCTCCTACTTTCTTCCTCTTCCCTCCTCTCTTTCTTTCCACACATGATTATTGCATTTAATCTTGATAATGCAACTCTTACGTAATTGGCGCGACTCTTAAGTGAGCGCAGGATAGAGTTGCCAGATCGCGTATTTCATTTACATTTTTCTTGACCCGATGTGCGCTCTACGAATGACCAAACTCGCTGTGTCAACAAATATATCATACCAATAATTGATAAACTTTGGTCGTAGGGGAACTATGAGAGAGAAAATGGGAGAGGAAGTAGTTAGGTCCTTCCTCTCTCGGTTTATATATATATATATATATATATATATATATATATATATATATATATATATATATATATATATATATATATATATGTATATATATATATATATATATATATATATATATATATATATATATATATATATATATATATATATATATATATATGTATATATATATGTATATATATATACATATATGCAACTTTTTTTTCTTCTTTTTTTTGCTTCGTCCTCTGCTCGCTATCTTTTTTTTGTCTCTGTTCTTTGTTTTATTTCGTCTTCTTTATTCTTTCATTTTCTTTTTTTTCTTGTTTTTTTTAATTTATCTCTCTATTCGGTTATTTGATATATAGTTTTATGTGTTTCTTTTTATCCTATCATCGGTGCCCTGGATATTCCTTCTTTTTTTCTCCTTTCTCCTTTTCTCTTACTCAGTCACCATGATTCTATCACGATACTAAAGCTATAGAACACTAAGGTTTTTTTTTCCTGGAGCCTCTCCGCCTAGAGGAAGCACGGGATACATTTCATAGATTGATTCTTTTATAAAGATGAATATTGGAGTTACTGTCGATTTTCACACAGGGGCAGCAGAAGGCACGACGTATAATACACATAACTGGGCCTTAGACTAATTATTGGTGTGTTGCATATACGTGTAGTACAGCTTCAAAAACCACTATTCGCGAAATATCGTAAACATCTGAAGACACGACCAAAACGGCCTGAGTTCGGAATCATATCAAAAGCTAGAAAGCATTTGTACAGAACTAGTTATGCAAAGTTAACTGGAGATGCTGGGATTCATGCAGACGGCGTGGAAAGATCATAGACTTGTCATTCAGCGCAAGTCGACAGAACAAGCATGGTGAGGATCAAGGGGAGGGAGTTGCGTACGTGAAGCTGAAATTTAGAGTCCGTGGACGTCGTTATGGGAAGCGGGAATGTCATTGAAGAAGGCATTGTCAGCTGATGAGGGGTTCGTAGTAGCCATGGGAAGCGCCGGGACAGGTCTGGCGCATTCTGATCACTGCGCCGACATCCTGCAAAATCTTAGAATATGTTGTGTGTGTGTGTGTGTGTGTATGTGTGTGTGTGTGTGTGTGAGCGTGGACCAGCGTGTACAGTATGATCTGTATTGGCTGAGTGCAGTCTGGATGCGGATGACAGGTCAGCTGCCTGTGCTTTCACTGACGGCTGCTAACACGGGAGAGTTCTGATTAGGGAATAAATTTGAATAAGCAACTTCACAACGCGAGAGGTGTAACTGACGCGTTTCGATTAAATTAGGATTACTTCATTGTAATTCTGAAAAAAAAGTAATCGAAATTCGTCATTTACATCTCGAGCGTTCTGATATTAATCATTTTCACTCATCCCTTTCCTACATTCGTCACTGTGAATTCCGTTTGTTTTACCGTCATGTGCACTGAACTGTGGAAGTCTTGAATAATTCCCAGCTTCTGACAGAATACCTGAGAACCACCCACTTATCCGGAAGGGCTATGATATTACATGGCATTTTTTTTTTCGTTGAAATATTTATAAGTATAAAAAATAAAGAATAACCAAAGCAGACTTGGTACGCGAAATATTACAGACTATTCAGCAAGACTTTGATAGGAACTGAGCTTGGCACTGTAGCAGATTCTTAGCAAGATAACATCCAAGATTTAAAGAACATCAACCTAAAAGGGTCATGGACGGTGAAGTCGATGGTGTCTTACAAAAACAAACAAACAAGTCATAGAGTACGTATTTAATGGTAATCCTGTGACAATATCAGTGAGGAAAATAGGATGATCTGACTGTGCTTAGTCGGGATATTGATTCGGTAAGCCTGTGCAGCTAAAGGAGGATGGTAGGCGTGGTAAGTAGTTGCAGGGGTAAATTACCAAGCCTCTTAGGATACTGAAGGGTAGATTCCGCGTGACGTTCTTGGACAACAGGCATTACAAGTTTCTGATTCGTGGTGGGTGTCTCTATAATG